ACTCCTACATCCCCTCCTCATCGTCCCCAAAACAGCATCTCCTAGAACACAACAACCCTTCTCACCCTGCATCTACCCGCACGGCAGGACCCCCTTCGCTGCCTTCACAAACTCCCGGGGAGACATTCCCAGCTGCCAAGAAATCGGTTCTCCCGCTCCCTGTCCTGAGGGCAGGAAGAGGCTGGTGACAGCAGGGAATTACTGGCCGAGGAGTGGCCCTATTTCTACGGATCGCCAGCTTAATTCCAGATTAGCTATCCAAACTGACAACTTCCCTACGGGCAGAGAAGACAGATAAGGACTCCTAAACGCTGACTGCAATTCAAACGCATCCGCGGTGGACAGCAGATCTCCCCAAGAAGCCAAAGGAGCCGACAGGCCCTTATGAATTCCCGAGTTTCGGCTCACAGAGGCACGGGACGGATCCACCAACGGCAGCAGCAGCGGCGCATCCCGGCCGCTCTCTCCCGGATAGGGAAAAGGCGCCGCTTCCCCAGCTCCAACAAACGCTCCTTCCTCGGAGGGCACATGCCAGAACCAGACGACTCTGGGGCTTCGTGATCGGCTCTCTCACCTTTTAGGCAGTTCCTTCCCCTTTTCCCCCCACACAGCTATTTACAGCTTGTTTTGTGTTGCGATAGGAAGGAACAGAGAGCAGCGTGGGCATGGAGAAGGGCTGCAGTCGTCCCAGGCTGCTGCAAAACAAGGAAGTTCAGCTCTATTCACAGCTTGTCCCCAAGTCCCACGTCGATGGTGACACCCTGGGGCTGCTGCTTTTCTCTTCATGCTTCTGCCATGGTCTTTCGCCTCCTTGGTCATTCTCAGAGCAAGACATCCCCGGTAGTTTGCTATCCCGCCCACCTCCATCAAACACATCAAACTCCCAAAAATCCACCGTTAACTTCGCATTTGCATCAGGATGCATATGATCTCTTTAGCAATGTATTGGAGCCTGGAGCTTTCCCGCCCAGGGTCAGGGACCCACTGCTTCTCTCACCTCTCTAACTAACGCACACGCGCAGTTCTGTGCTGCAGACACCTCCTTCGAGCTCCTTTGGGCTTGCCCGGGGCTGCGGGTGTCATTTGCAGGCTCAGTGCTCACTGCTGCTCCCGATGCTCCTCATGCCAGAGCTCTCCTGCTCTCCTGCCGCCTTCCTGAGGGCACCCGATGCACGAGGCAGGAAACCAG